TCCTGGGAAGGCCTTTGCTCTCTACCTTATGCTGCTGGTGCCTGTCCAGTAGAGCTTCCCCACCGGCCACATCTTCTGGCAATTTATCAGCATTGATCAGAGCTGTCTTTTCATCTATCCAGCCTGAGAGCTCATCATAATCTGATATGAACCGAAAGTACCTGTGGGAAAGTTCAGGTAAGGGACAGAAGAGCAAAACCAGACTTGAAAGGGCTTCTAACAAAGACCTGCAGGTGAACTGAACTAAGGTCTGCGAGGTGCTCCATGTATTAATCTGAGCTCTTCCTCCTGATGTACTAATAGTCAGGGTTCTTTTCTCAGTGCAGACTGCAAATCTTTTACACCAGGGTGTACCTCTTAGGTTAGTCATGATATACCATGCTGTTTTGTTTCCAGACTTTCAGTCTTAACCATGACAAGGCCTTGTCTACCCAAAGATATTTGATTTTTTTGTTTGTTTTGTTTTGTTTTTGGTGGGACCAGGGATTGAACTCAGGCCCTTGTGCTTGCCAGGCAAGTGCTTATTCTACTGAGCCATCTCCCCAGCTGCAAAGATATTTGAAATGGAGTAAAAAGCCTCACAATGTCACCAATAAATACATGCTATATAAATAACAGAAAGCATCTTGTGGAAGGAAGACTTGAAATTAATGTAAGGATTCCCTATATATATTTAGCTCACATAAATTTTACTAAAAAAAATTGTATGTTTATATCTGATAACCTAAACAACTAAGTAGAAGACAACATCTGAAATACAGTATGCAATACAAAAACCTTTATTAGTGAAATTTTGTATTGTTCTAATGCTTTTTTATTACTCTTTTTTATTTTTTAAAAACTACAAATAGAAAAACAACAACAACAAACAAAACAATAGGGCTGTGGATAGAGCTCAGAGGCACAGTGCTTGCTGAGTAAGCACAAGGCCCTGACTTTGATTCCTGATACACTCCCCCAAAATAAATTAATTTAAAAAAATTTAAAAAATAAATTTTAAGAATACTTATTTAAAACAATGTTTGCCATTGGATTCTAATCTATAATAATATGATAAGCACTATCTTCTGGTTATCCCACTACTAACCATTTAGTGTGGTGTAACTAAAATTTTCTACAAAAATGATACTTGAGGGCCAGCCAGTTAGCACAGCTGATTAAAGCACCTGCTGAGACAGATGCAAGGACCGAGGTTCGATCCATTGCTTGCCATTCTGGCCCTGCCCCCAGGGCCCACTGAGACAGTGAATGAGACTGAGCATGGTGGCGTGTGCCTGTAATCCTAGTGCTTAGGAGGCTG